CTCCGACAGAGTGGCATGGTTTTAGACCGTAGTATTCTCTGTTTTAAAAAAAACGCGATAAATCTAATAAAACATCTTAAGTTACTTTGCAAAGTCGGTCATAGAGATAGGAGAGATGAGAAAATCGAAAAGGTGGCCCCCCAAGTCAAGCGAATTTATGACTTCCTCTTCGATAACAGGTTCTTCAACAAGATCAGGAACAGATTCGATTTCAATTTTAATACAGCCCTCTCCCTTTGTAGATGCGTTTGACATTCTGGAACGCTTGGTATTATTCTTTTCAGGAGAATGAATTCGCTTTCTTGTTTTGTTGAGTTTCAAAGCTTCGTGTTTTCGTCGTCTTTTTGAAGCGGATTCCAACTTTTTGCTTTTGGTAGGAGATGAAGAGATCAGTATGTCAGAGGGCTGTTCGAGTTTGATACGTTTACTAACTTCAGCTAACATTTCAATAGTACTTTTCAATTCAATGTCGCTTTCAACAGTCTACAGGAAACAAATTAGATAAATCAGCCGCACTAAATACGCAAAACTACTGGTTATGCACCACTTAAAGTCGCTTACCCTTTTGCCCTTTTGAGGCTTATAAAACTCGTACGCCGACAGCATTTTTGGCCTTTAATAACGCGCAACCCGACCTTATGCTTTTAAACAATTCACCAGAGTTAGATTTCGTTATTTTGATAGAAAGAGTTAAATTTGTAAACTTAATAAATTATTGCATCAGAATGAAAAATATCGTGAAATTTCATTTTGTTCACAGAAGCGAATAGGGTCTAGTTAGAACAAGTAGTTTGGAACAACTGAGGATAAAATTCATGAACGTTAATAAGTCAATAAATCTTAAACCATCCATTTGTGCATAGTTATATTATCAACACGTGACCGAAATTTCTAATAATGATTCATTGCACAATTTTTCACGAATAAACTAAATGTTATTCGAAAATTTGATTTAAATAACCTTTCTATAGCTATATCGATGTGCAAACCACTGAGTCTTTAGTAAATCTGCAACTGTTGGACATTTACAAGAACTAATTATATTAAACAGACGTATGCATAAGTAAACCACGAAAATATAAAATGTATGTTATTGCCGAAATTTATGATATGTCCAACTTCCAGGGATAATATGGAATGGATCATAGCCGAATTAGAAATATAACGTGGTATTAAAAACTTACAGGACAAATTAATAGCTTTGTGGCTTTAAGCTTTGCCTGGCGCTTTCTATACGATTTGGCATTTGATTAATTATCAATATTTAGAATACATCAATGAATTTTGACCTTAGACGGCTGGATTTAAATTATCAAAGTTGAATAATAAAATTTCAGGAATCGGATTTTGCTTGAAATGCTAATATTTTGGATTCATATGAAATAGAATGGGTTCTGTCCTAACAGCACAAATTATTTACCGTCACTCCAAAATAAGAAATAGGAACTCTTTACTTTGGGCAATTGCAAAATATGGAAGGAAATTAATGGATCTATGAAAAAGGCTCTTATGGTTTCAAATTGGATCACTTTAGGGAAGGCGCGATATACAATCGAACCTCTGCTATTGTCTATATGGTGTATTATGTATTCCTTAATTGACAAAAAATCAGTTTGGTTATTTATGACGCCGGCTAATTTAAACTATGAAAGTGGATTCCTTTGATTTCATTTATGTAATATTGCAATTGATTTAATGCTCAACATAATGTATGTGGTTTCGTGCAAATATTTATTGCCTTCTACTATCTCTAAAAAATTCCCTTGTATGAAAGTGTCCATGAAATTAGCAAAACAGTAAGGCGAGAGTGGAGTAAATAACGTTTATTCTAACTTTCGCTTTCCAAAGCCAACAACATAACAATCTCAAAGAATGAAGAGACCTAGACACTGTTAGGGATTTCAGGACCTAAATCGAGCAATTGCCGCTGAATTGCAATTAAGTATTAGATTACAAGATATGCTTTTTGTGGAGACCAAAACGCTGTCATGTCTGAACAAAGATATTTCATGTGCCCTCAGCTTGTCACTAATAAATAGTCCCTGCAGTGTTTAACAAACCCTTTATTGCATTCTAATGACTATGATACGTTTCGCCGATACACAACTCAAACAAACGTGGTTCGTGCCATACGTCTGAACCATTCCAAATTAGGAGTTCTTGCGATGGAGACTATTGAGAATAAGCAAAGGTTTATTAGGGCAACGATCCGCTAGAATCATTGCCAAATCACGTACTTAAAGAGACTTTTTGATTGATTTGACTAAATGTTTTCAAAAGCTAATATTGCTTCTCTTTACAAGCAATGTTTGAAAGTTATCATGGCTTATATGAAAATAGCTATTGCTCAAATCGTGTAGAGGCACAGTGAAGGAAATGACCCTGTAAGGCCGGATTTTTGTATGTAAACTCTAACTCATTACTTGTTAGCAATAAAATTCCTTATACTGTTAAGGATTAGTGTCCTACCACAAAACAGAGGACACACCAGACCGACCTGGCATACTGCCCTTCTTTCATCAGAGCTTGAATGTCCTCAGTCTCCTAGAACCACAAGTGAAATTCATGGTCAATTGCCCACAGATATGGTAATTTAAATTATGTGGCAAAATCAAGACGACGTGCAAGAGGTGGGATTTCAAATTGGAATATATATAATAAACATTTGCACGGCATTTGTACCGCAGACACTCCAGATCCGAAATCAGTACAATGAAATTTTTATTTTACCAAGAAATTTCTGTACATATTCAAGAAAAGACAAAGCTAGATTCGAAAATACGCAAATTCAAGCACACGTGAACACACACACGCAGACGGACAAGAGACTAAGAGAAGAAATCCATATAAAAATTGATTACGGAAATCCAATCACATTCCCTTCATTTTAACCATCTTCACGCGTTGTTGGCGCTTCTTCTCCTTCTTCTGCTCCTTCTCCTACAAACACAACGCGATGGAATCGATTGAGAAGAATCAATAATGTAAATCTATAAATAACTAGAAATGTCAGGCGAACCTCTAATCTACGAGCCTTTTCAGGATCCTCCTCAGCCATTATACGCTCCTTGACGGCACGTCGCTGTTCATCTCGACGGTTCTGCGCGGCTTCTTGGCGTTGTTGGTGGACAGACTTCATTGCGTTCTCATAAACCTTGGATCTAGCCTTATCTGCCCTGGCCTTAGCCTAAAGCACGAACATATATAAGTACTGTTTAAACCAAATAAGTAAAAACACAAAAACTAAATAGGTAGCCGAGCTCACATCTTTAAGGAGACGGATTTTGCGAACTTTTTCAAGCATGTAGAAGACGAAATTGAATAGGGGCTTCATGTTTTCGATTTCGTCTTCTTTCACTGTTGAGAAATAAAAATAAATACACTCAAGATCAGGCGACTTTGAATTAACGCAGGAGATGTAGGCTCAACTTACGAATGAAGGAGCAAATAAGTACCTTCTGGACCTCATTCGGTTTAGGTGGTTTCAATTCCCTGAAGGAGAATAAAATGTTAACAAATCTGTGTTCTGATTTGTAGATTCTTTAAAGTATTTTGAATCTTACTCCGCAGAGGGTTTAGCCCCACAATACTGATCACTGACGTAGACATATTCAATAATATTCGAATGATCATTGAAAATTTTTAATACCTACAACGCGAAATTAGACTATTTTGCACCCACACCACTTAGAAAGAGAAAGTAGCTTGCGAAATGTACTCACAGTTGGATTGAGAATGGCAGAAGTAACTTCAGGAATTTCACTTAGAACAATCATGCCCTCGGGCAGGCCAGCATATTTGAAGCCTTTTCTGTCCTGAGGATAAGTGGCCAGATCAAAGTGATCTTTCACCATGACGCTAAGTGACTTCTTTACACCGACGGTAAACACCCAAGAGTCTAGCTCGCCATCATCCAAAACAACTTTAACCATCAACCGATCAGAGGAAAGTGAGAGGGGTCCAGTTTTCGGACGGGCCAGATAATGCATCAGACCCAGACAGAGGTCTTGTCTGGGTGCGAGACGAATTTGGATAAGCATTCCTTGGCAAGCGACACGACCCGAGCACCACAAAGTGTACTGGGAATCAGAATCTCTGAGAAGACCCAAGCTTGAATCCGATTTAGACTCATCCATCGAATCAGGCGATTCTTGATTGTCATCGGCAACAGACACAACGTTTGGGTTGTCACCAACCAAAGCGAAATTGGCTGCAAGTATGTCACGGTGGGCCTCGTACCATGAGTTAGCGATACGAGAGTTTACGGAACGACCATGGAGGTAATTCACCAAATAGACTAAGATGACGGCTAGGAGAACCATCTCAATGGTGTATTTGTTCCAAGGTAGGAATTGACGTGGCACCTAGAGGGAAAAAACAAGGGATAGTCATAGAAGATACAGACGTTATCCATTCATTTCAGTCTCCTAGTCAATTCAAAAAAAGATTGCGGAAATGAACTCTATAATACAAAGTTCATTTGATAGTTCCATTTGTTTCCATGTACGAAATACACAGCCAAATTCAGCTACCATTCCATGTCACCTAGCCTAAACAAAGAAAATTTCGAAGTCAGCACAAGTGCAATTAAAGCTGCCCATAAATGCAAGCAGTAACTCAACACACTGAGTAAGACTACTTGGGCCCATCTTGCCTGCACTTTTGAAGAAAATTGTGCGTGCTTATCGAGTTTTCTTCAATTTGTTTTGCACGTTTTACTGCGCCTTTGTCGAAAATTTTAAGTATAAAGCTTGGTGGTGGGGGCAAACAAATTAACTCTTAAAGTGTTCTCCACAGCTTACCCTGTTTAAGCGCACTAAAAACGAGTGCTGGGGTATTAGTTGCTTTGGGGATATTGTCCCCCCCCNCAAACTACTATGGCCCGACTATTTGTCATAATCGNCCCCGATGGCCAACTTTTAGAGGCAAAATCAGCTGATGACGCGAAAATGAAGTCTGAAGTCAACTAAAGGGCTAATGATAACCATCAAGACGCCTGCCATTTGATATAAATAAATAAATAGACTATAAATGGAAAACAACAGAAGTTTAAAAAAACATGACAAATTAAATAAACTAACAATTTATTTGCATACACTTGTCATGTCGAGAACCATTAATATTCGTTTTTAAAATTCTTTCCAACCTGACAGAAACCCTTTGTTTGGGACCATTTAAGTTATTACAAACAAATACCTCTCGTCCAGTGATAAAAAATCGACGACAACAATGACCAAACACACACACAGCCAATTAGATATGCTAATATAGGGAAAAAACCTTGACCTCCCATGCAGACAGTGAAACGACCTCAAATCCACACTATTCAACAGGATTACACTGTAACAAATTTGGAGATTTACATTTAATCTGTTGATTTAGATTAGATTAGAGTTGTGTGAAAGTAAATGTTAGCTGCGTTAATACTGACACCGAAACAATAGTGCCATTAAAATGATGCTCAGGAAAAGGGAGAAGCAAAGCTGACAGAAATTTCAGAACTGCAAAAAAACTATCTAACGCTCATCTTGGGCAAGGGATTAGCTTAGTTGTGACGTTTTGGAAAGAAGACTTCACTCTATGACACCTCATCTCGATACAAATTGATTAACATGAGTGACTACGTCATTCAATGTATGCAGATGAGAACCCATGTTGTGACCCCTAACCTCAATAGCGTAAGAAATCATCGCTACACCATCGGCACACACGCCATTCTTACCATCCACACAAAACAAAGAAAAGCAAATACAAAATTTGCAATGATATATGCTGGAGTTGTCAGTACATGATAAGGTAACACTTTTTGGATAAAAAATAATATTGTGAGGTGGATGCAAGGCATATAAGGTTGATGATGCTCTAAAAACGGTTATTAGAACTCAAAGGCGGTATTGAACCACCCCAGAAGAAGTGCACATCTAGACAAATCCAAAGGACACATAGGAGCTATCAAACAAAACTACAAACGAATGCTTCATGACACTACCAATTATAAACTAAATCTCAGTTTATGTGAACTCAATAACTACACAGACAGTGAATATCTGCAAAAAATGAGGCCAGAAATGGTTGTATCAAACGGTTGGAAGTTAACAGGAAGCACGAAATAGACAAGCACACAACCACCAGACAATGACCGTGGGCTGGTGCACTTTCACCACGTGCAAATGCAAATGCAGCGCCAAAAGTGACACGGCAAATTAGTCTACATTTAAATCGATAAATATTTAGTTAGACTGAGTCAAGAGACGGATTACTCAACGAAAATGAAAATAAGAAAAAGACCTCATGAAATTAGGTGTTTTAATTAGATAAGAATATCCCTAAAGTGGAAACAACCGTGGAAAAGGAATAAAATAATGGCGAAATAGATGAGCACGAAGTGATGGCGATGATCATGAGATAATTCTAATCACCTGAAGGGATAACGAAAATTGAATCTCCAATTGAACGGATATCTTCCTTCTACCAAAGCCAGATCTGAATTTTACTCGCCTATCCGCTTTTCCAGAAACTTCCAAAAGTATCAGATCAAAAATAATATTTTGTATCCAAGTGCGGACAAGAAGGGTGGGAGGTGGTATACGACAGTAGTGATGAAGAAGGGGAATTCAGCTAATTTTACCAGAAATTCGTCTGCATAAATTAAGTATATATTACGATCGAAAGGGAGCAGTTTCCTTGCCCCAAAGTCAATCGCACTGGAAATAAACCTCGTAAAAACGCATCCAGGGATGAGATATGTTGGATTTGATGTCACATTTTCATCAAATTAAATAACAGCATGCATTATAACTGCAAAATCTTTAATGGGATGAAGTAATTATAGTTTATCTTTCCAACTACTATTCCTAAACCGTTTCGCCATAAATAGTGCACGAAAATGTATTCTTTGAAAACACTTCCCATTTTTTTCGCATCTGCAAGACACGCCGATTGCACAGAGTTTGATAATCATCAGCTTCCTTCACTAGCCTGAAACATATCAATGCAAGAACTCCACAGCTAATGACACCCCATTCCTACTTAACAAACTTCAACGTTAAGACGATGAAACAAGAAAGCAAATGAAGGAATAAATTCCCTGAACAGAACAAGAAATTTGAAACTGGTTCAATGCCTGTTATCAAATGGGCCTGAATAAGAAAATTATCAAACAGGACAAAAAAATCCATAAGTAGTGGAAAAAACAAAACTATCGCTTTAATAACTAATAACTACCCATCTGATTTTTAAAGAAAGAAAGGATACATATGGAATGACTTACACTAGCCATTTTAAGCTGCGGCTTTTGATTGTTGGCAACTGGTTTTTCAGGAGCAACTTTTGCTCGGGGAATAAATCCCTCAAATTCTTCATCATCCGGTTCAAAATCATCATCAATTGACTAAAAACCATAGGCTTTGATTAGATTGAAAAATAAGTCATACTTCTTCGGCCGCTAGCTGGCTATCATTTTCAAAAGGCATTTCAAATTCGTTAGGTAAATCTTCTCTAACTGGCTCACGATATGTCAATCCATCAGCTTCGACTAAGGCATTAGGTTTAAAGCTGTTAACAAAATACCTTCATCTGGGTCATAAAATTCCCTAAAATCATCATCTTCCTGGGCATTGCAGGCAGAAAAGACGAGAAAGGATAAAAGTAAAATCCAAAATAAATTAGATCTTCTAAAAATGGAAAAAAATTGATGGAATTGTGACAAGGAGATAAACGCATAACATTAAAAGTAGGGTACGAATTTAAAAGGACATTGTAAATAAAAGGCTTCATACTTCGACACCATAGATGACGAACACACTGTAAGTCATTCAGTCACGGAACCAACCTTGACATCAGCGGTATGCGGTAATAAACCTATAAGAGGCAGCCAAAAATTAATTTTAGAAAATTTTCAAAAATTTTTATATGAAAGTAAATAATAAAATTTTACTGACTCGTCCAATTTACTGCATGATAAATTGGAAAAACAAGAAATTCGTTTCATCTCAATACAAAATCTTTAATATCAAAAATTATTTCAAGTAAACACGCATCTTTACAATCTCTTTAAAGATTTTTTGCTGATTTGTTTATATCAACTGTTTACAAAATTAGGAGTCTCCCTATTTGAGAACAATTTCAAATTCATTGTGAAAATATGTTTTCTGACAAGCACAATGATGAGGATTATGATTATTTAATAAAACTACTTGCACTAGGTAAACATGTTAATCAAGTGTCATTATTTTTTATTACATGGTTTGCATAATTTTCTACGAATTAAAATGGAATACTAAAAATTTTATACTACGAAATAAATGCCAATCTTGTATATTTGTAGGTGATAGTAATGTTGGCAAAACAAGTCTATTGTATCAGTATACTGATGGTGTTTTTAATATGGAAATGAATGCTACAGTCGGTGTGGACTTTAGGCAGAAACGTATTGTACGAGAAAACAAAAATGATGCAAATGGTCTCCTTGGACAAAAACAGCGGCTTTATTTACAACTTTGGGATACTGCTGGCCAAGAAAGGTTAGTTGATATTATTTTCTACATGATACGAAACTTTATACATTAATTTGCTCATATTAGTAATTTGTTTTTCATATCAATTAATTGCCAGAAAAGAAACTTTGACTATGATTTACTGTTTTTATTATACGTCCTTTAGATAAAATTCATCATTGCTATTAAAATTGCAAATTCGAGGATTATGATGTGAAATAAAATCTTTAGGTTAATTGATTTTAGGCTTTTTTCTCGGTTTTCATTTCATACTCTTCTAATGTTGATTGATGACCTGACTTTCATCCGCCTTTACTCACTGAACTGGCGAGTGCCATTGACTATGTGATTGAGAAGATGTTATTTCGTGCCATTTTAATCATTTTCTAAGGACATTCTTATTTTTTTTCAAATATTAAATTTCTTAATTTTTATGACTTTAGTAATCAAAATCTTTTCGGTGTTTTTATTTTTATCAAATTCAAATGATAAATTTTGCTTTCGATAACTTTTTTTCTGCTTTGTTGAGTCCCAACGTAGTAATTGTAATGATATTCCCCTTATTTTTGATGTCAACATTAAAGTAATAAAAAGGCCTGTAAGTCATTTTGTGGTAAATTGAACAGAACTAGTTTCATTCGAATTTCGATTTATTCTGTTTATATCATTGTTTTATTAAATTGTTTTTTTGTTTATCATTTATCAAATTTTATTTTATAAGACTCTTTTTTACATCATTGCATATTTTTGGAAACATACAATTTTTAATTTATTGCTTAATGGTTAATTTTCAATCAATGAATTGTTACTGTCAGATTAATCAAATTTCCACTGCTTATATAAATTCTGATTTCCTTTGGTACCTTGCTATTTTTTCCGCTTAAGAATGGAACTTCGCAAAAAACATTTAAATAGAAAATATATAAGCAGCCATGTTATTGAAATGACATTTTTATCAAAACTTACAATGTTATTTGATTGCTCACACTCAGTTTGAATTTTATTTACGTTGCGCAAGTTTATGCGAATTTGAGTCATTCTTGTTTAATTCCACAGACAAATTATGATTTATTCAGGCTTTCGTTTTTACTTAATTCAAGGGTAAAATGAACTATTTTTCATATTGACCAATTTGGTTTCTATCATTGAATTGAAACCTTGATTAAATGATCCGCTAATGCTAATTCTTGGTCAAATTTTCCATTTGAGACCCACCTATTTGACTCTCCACAATGTGCGCTTAAGAAATGTAAAAGATGAAAAAATTACAATGAAACAGGACGCACAATTAGAAATACTATAATCGAAATCTGGGGGTGCGTGATGACTTACCTCCACGTGGTGCACCCTGAGCAACGTATACTCATGCGGCAAAAAAGTCTATTAACTGGCAGTTTATTTTTTACTTCAAACTACCATGACCCAACTGTATGTCATATTTGACCCCTTCCACAGTACTCATCTTACTTTTTCTCTGCCTTTGTGTCTGCCTGTCTCTTTTACATCCGTGAATCACTCTTCTGTTCTCCCTCTCGGATTTGTTATACTTTGATATTCCTCCCCTCTGTGAAGCTCGAAATCAGCTAAAGGCTAATGATAACTATCAAAACGATTGCCATTTGAAATAAATAATTAATA